CCCCAAAACCCCAAAACCCCAAAACCCCAAAACCCCAAAACCCCGTTCAATGAATACCAACTGAATTTATTATATTTTAATTAAGCTAATATGCAGAAGGCGACAATTTCAAATCCTGAGTTCAAAGTTAAGGCTTATAAGAAAAAGCTAAAAAGGAACAAGGATGCTGTTTTGACGATTCACTCACCCAAAGGCATTGATGATGGCATCATAGTCAGTGGGTCTGCTGACGATTGTATCAAGATTTGGGACATTAAGAACCAAAAGCAGATCAATAAGGTCTTCATAGAAAGACCTGATGATGAGTTCCTCCTGAAGTATACCTCAGAAGAGCTGATAAATTACTCTGAAGATCATGTCCTCAACACTGAAAAAGCACTCAAGAAGCAAAGAGAACAGAAAAGTGTCTGCTGATTCTGTTTCTTTGGAGAGAAAGCATTCAATGGTTATGAAGATGGACTTATCTGCTGTTATAATGTTTCTGAAGGAAAGTTGATCAACCCTTTGATTGGCCATACCAATAGGATCAATTGAATAGTTGCTACCGATGAAAGTAGGATCTTCAGTTCATCCAATGATTGAACCATTAGATCCTGGAACATCTCATCAGGAGTTTGTGAGAGCATTTACAAATTTACAGACCCTATTTCTTCCATTGCTGTCAGCCTCACAATGAATATTATGTACTCAGCTTCGTGGGACAAGATGATTAGAGTAGTTGACCTTGAAGCTAATAAAGTGACTAAGTCTTTCCTTGCCGCCAAAGAGGCTATCAAAGTTATGGTAGTGCATGAAAACACCATCTTTGTTGCTGGTTGAGATCCAATAATCCGTTCGTTTAATCTAGAAACCGGGGAGAGCAATAACTATGAAGGACATGAAGGATGGGTCTACTGTCTCGCTGTTCATGGAAACTTCTTGTTCTCAGGAGGTGATGATAAGACCATCAAAATCTGGGACATTGAGACAGCTCAATGAGTTGAAGAGCTCAAGGGTCATGAAAATGGAGTGACATGCCTAGCTTTTGCTAATAACGAGCTTTTCAGTGGCTCATTTGATTATTACATTCTCTGCTGGGATCTCTACGATATAAAAAAGAGAATCAACGAAAGAGCTCTAATGAGAGAGGCTGACATCGAATCAAGAAGAATAGAGGTATACCATCGAACACTAGCATCCAGGAAGAAAGGAAAGAAGGGTAAGAAAAAGAAGAAATAAAATAAAACTTCTTATTTCAATTTAAATTTTCGAAGTCGGGGTTTTGGGGTTTTGGGGTTTTGGGGTTTTGGGGTTTTGGGG